TTTTTCTTTTTTTTTGTGCGGTTTCTTGTGGTTACCTCAACAGCCTCCAGTAGTTTTTACTTACTGGGAGTTTGCACTGGGACCATTAGAGCCACACGATCGACTTGTGGAAGGATGAGGCGGCGGAGTGCTATTTGATCTATTTGATTAAGCGGAGTTCGATTTTAGGCAATTGATGTGTTAATGGGAAATTAAATATAGGGGAAGGCTATTTGGCCTAGTTCCACTTTCCCTGTGAGAATGTTATTCTTTTCTGTAATTTATGTGTTGTGCTCGAGTTTGAGATGGCGAACTTTAGTCGAGCACGATTTGGCTTCTTTGTAGCTATGTATCATATAACATTACCATTTTTCTGAGAAAGTAGCAATGTGCTTGTCTGAAATTTAGGTACGTAAATTTTGTATGCATATGCATATTTATTCCTGTATATAGATGCCAAGCTTAATAGTCAAATTTTGGTATTTCGTAGTACCATGTCTGATTTTTGGTGTTTTGTATTTCTATATTAAATCCTGGTGCTTTAAAAACGTTTCGTGTAGATTTGATTATTTATCAATGCATATTAAGACTTTTAAGGTTACATAACATTATGCTTAATATAATTTATTTTACAATTTAATATACTTTTATATTATCACTTTTTTTCATATACGGTATATTAAATTAATCATATTTTTGTGATTTTCAGTTTGCCATTCCTATTTCATATTAATAAATATAAAAGTTCATAAATATATAATATATTATCTACCAATCATAATTGTAGAATAATAAAATAAATATTTATTAATTAAATAAATTTATGTATCAAACTTATTGTATGAAATGAGCTGAAAAAATCTTATAATATAGGAGGAACAATCTTATAGACAACAACTATCATTTTTAAATAACAATATAATTTTTTACAAATATTTAAAATAATTTCTAGATACAAATATTTTGAATTTGATAAGCACCTGTGTAATATGCACGAGTATTGTAATATATATATATATATATATATATATATATATATATATATATATATAATTAGTGACAAGTTTAAATAAATTTTATTCTGGCAGCAGTTAATAATAATATGAGTTCATTTAATAATAATATGTTCACCATTTAATAATAATATGTCACTTTCAGTTACGCAATTTATTTTGACAGATCTCGTTTTGGATGGTGCCAATTTCTGTAACATCTTTTTATGTCCTGAAATACAAAATATTTTTGTTTTGATTTTGATACTATATAATTTTTTCATTAATTAAGTTATGACTTTTGTTATCATCCTATATTTTTAATTACTTTATCTTCTATTATATCACTTTCTGTGCAAATGCACGGGATAAAACTAGTAATCCCCCTATATATTAATACAGAATGCGCTGAGCC